ACAAGAGAAGGCTGAGGGGGGACCTTGTGGCTGTCTATAAACTCACTAGGGGGGACCAGAAGGGTTTGGGGGAGACCTTGTTTCCCCTAGCGCCCCCCGGGGTAACAAGGAATAATGGCCACAAGTTGTTGGAGAGTAGGTTTAGATTAGACATCCATAAGAACTACTTCATAGTTAGGATGGCTAGGATCTAGAACCAACTTCCAAGGGAAGTGGTGGTGGCTCCTACCCTGGGGGTCTTTAAGAAGCGGCTCGATGCCTAGCTGGCTGGGGTCATTTGAGCCCAGTTTTCCTCCTGCCCAGGCAGGGGGTCAGACTTGAAGATCTACAAGGTCCCTTCCAACCCTACTTCTATGATTCTGTGAAGGGCATGATCCTCAAAGCACAAAAGAAGTCCATTCCCATTCTGAGGAAAGAGAGCAGAAGGGCTCATAAGCCCTCTTGGCTTAATAGAGATATCATGGTCCTCTTGAAAAATAAGAAAGAAAGAGCAGCTTAGAAAGGCTAAGGTGGTAACTGAATTTAAACTAGCAACAGAAATCAAGGACAAGAAGAAGTCCTTCTTTAAGTATGTAGGAAACAGGAGGAAAACAAATGGAAGTGTGGGCCATTGCTTAACAACTCATAACAGCTGGTTACCAGCACTCAGGAGAAAACTGAGCTCCTGAGTGACTACTTTGCTTTGGTATTTCACGGGACTAAGAGGAAAATGTTGCTAGATAAGGTTCAGAATGGGCATGGTGCGAATGACCACCTTCCTACTGTTGATGTTGAGCTGGTGCATGATCAGTTAGAAAAGTTAGACATTTATAAGTCAGCAGGACCAGATTAACTTCATCCGAGAGTGCTGAAGCTGGTCAAAGTCATTATGGGATATGGTGAAACTCTTCCAAACTCATGGCGCTTGGGGGAGGTCCCTGAAGACTGGAAGAGGGCTAACATTGTGCCCATCTTCAAGAAGGGGAGGAGGGAGGACCTGGGCAACTATAAGCTAATTAGCCTAATTTCTATCCCAGGGAAAATCCTGGAAAAATTCGTCAAGGAGTCTACGTGCAATATGCTTGCAGAAGGTAGTATTCTGAACAACAGCCAGTATGGCTTCATCGGGGGCAGGGCTTGTCTTTCCCACCTTCTATGACCAGGTAACTTGCCACCTGGATAAGAGAGGAGGTCGACACTGTATACCTAGACTTCTAAAAGGCCTTTGATTTGGTATCCCATGATGTTCTCATGGGAAAATTGGAGAATTGCAGGCTTAACTTTTTGACAGTTAGGTGGGTAGGAAGCTGGCTGAGAGTTCTAATGAGTGGATCTATGTTATCTTGGCAAGAAGTGACCAGTGGTGTCCCTAAGGGGTTGGTGCTTGGTCCAGTGCTTTTTAACATTTTTATCAATGATTTGGATGTGGGGGTGAAGAGCTCACTGGCCAAGTTCGCAGATGGCACCAAGTTATGGAGGGGTGCGGTCACGCTTGAAGATAGGCTGCAGATACAGGCAGACCTAGACAGGCTGGCAAGTTAGGCAGATCGGAACTAGATGAAGTTCAACATTGAGAAGTGTAAAGTGCTCCATCTGGGGACGAACAATCCCCAACATACTTACAGGCTCGGTGGCGCCAAACTGACTAGCACCACAACTTTAAGGGACCTAATGGTAATAATAGACCATAGTATGAACATGAGCTGTCAGTGCAATGCTGTAGCCAGCAAGGCAAACAATATTCTGGCATGCATCAACCAATGCAGCTCAAGAAAAACCAAGGAAGTGATTCTTCTGCTTTACTCAGCATTGGTGAGACTGCAGCTGGAGTACTGCGTCCAGTTCTGGACACTGCACTTCAGCAAGGGTGTGGAAAAGCTTGAGAGAGTCCAGAGAGTCACCCATATGATCAGAGACTTGCAAGGCAAACCTTATGAGGAAAGGCAGAGGGACTTGGGTTTCTTCAGCCTAAAAAAGAGAAGGCTGAGAGGGGACTTGGTAGCTTATCGCTATATCAGGGGAACACATCGAGGGCTCGGTGAACAACTGTTCACCAGGGTGTCCTTGGGGAAAACCAGGAGTAATGGCCACAAATTCCTGGAAGACTGTTTCAGGCTTAACACTAGGAAAAACTGCTTCACAGTTAGGGTGTCCAGACTGTGGAATAAACTCCCTCCAGAGGTGTTGCAATCATCTACCCTGGAAATCTTCAAGAGGAGACTGGACGGTCACCTTGCTGGGGTCACCTGACCACAGTTGTCTTTCCTACATAGTGTAGGGGGCTGGACCTGATGATCTTGCGGGGTCCCTTCCAGCCCCTTACAATCTATGAATCTATAAGGTACCCAGGGCTAGGAGGCATTCAATACTTGGGGAGAAGTTAGTCTTCTTAAAGAGACAGAGTGTGGCCTTCATTGATATTATGTTATATCCCAGGGACTTATATTTATGATGTTTGCACCAGTGGACCAGGATGAAGCTAATAGGGGTGGAGGAGGCCTTATTGGGGTGCACTATCTTGTAGTGCCCCAGTACCAAGGGGGCACAGGCTGCAGGGGGCTGTAGTGCCCAGCACTGGAGGGGTGCAGCCACAGGGGGCTGTAGTGCGCAGCACAGGAGGGGTGCAGTGACAACAGGAGGCTGAGTTAGGCCAACACTTCAACAGAGGGATATTATTCATATACCACCTGTAAGGCATGGGTAAAGGGGAGGTTTTGGAGCCACACATCTAGCTCATAAGGCTTAGGGTGTCCTGTGAGGCACAGACTTGGAGCAAAACCCGACAAAGGATCCAAGAACCTGCAAGGTCTAGTGGGGTTCTACAGGACCATGACCCTACAGAAACTCATGGGTAGCCTCCCAACTTATTATTTTAACCAACAAGATGTGGCAGGTGAGATTAGAAGGTGCCCGCAGGGCAGAGCTGGCATGGTCACGGAGCCCTAGGGGCATCATGGCTATCCTTGGGGACCCTGCACCATGACACACCCTGTACCCATTCTAAGTGCACTCTGTGTGGATTGTGCAATCCCCTAAGAGAAACACAAAGCAATGACAAATGTGGAAAAATACTGTTCAGAAAATTGTGTCAAAACCTGTCACCTCATCAAATGGAAATATTCTGTAAACATGAACGTTTCATGTTCTTTGCAATCCCCTAAGAGAAACACAAAGCAATGACAAATGTGGAAAAATACTGTTCAGAAAATTGTGTCAAAACCTTTCACCTCATCAAATGGAAAAATCAAGTTGCCCATTTTGACCAATCTAACCTTCCTGGAACTTCTGCGCAGTTTGCACTTAGATTGACCTAATTAGGGATCTAAGTGTAAGGTATGCATGTGAGCAAACTAAGTTAAATCAGGTCACCATTTAAAATGGAATCTAACCTCCCCTTAACCTCCCCAAACTCCTGTATGTACCTTTTAATATCGAGGCAGCAAATTGTTGATGTCTACTCCTGTAAGTTCTTGCTGAGGCTTCTCCATACACTGTTGGAAAAGTTGGGAGTCCCAGAATCTCACCTTGCTGCCTCTTCTTCTGCTGAGGGAGTCCCCTTTTCACCAGCTAGTTGGGGGGCGGGGAGGAGGGGAGCAGTCTTGGTTATTAGGTCTGTATGAAGCTTTGGTCCCTGATTCAATTTGGCGGAGATTTGGCTTGATTCAGTGGTCAAATCTCTGAATCGAATCAGGAGACCCTTTAATCTCTCAAAATCAAATTGGAGCCCTCCGAATCGATTCAGAGAGATTCGGAGATTTGGACATAGACACAGCTTTAAATGTTTTTTCTACATACCTCCAAGGTAGGATGTGGCTCGTGAATGCCGTGATGCTGGGGCGGATGGAGCATCCTACAGGAGTGTGGCCGCCACCCCCCATGCTCCTGTGGGACGCTCCGTGCACCCTAGCATCGTAGCATTCATGAGTCGTGCCTCGTACCTTGAGGTATGTAGAAAAAACATTTAAATCTGTCTCTGTGGCAGAATTGCTGATTCTCTGAATCAGCATTGAATCTTCATATTTCGATTTGGCCGAATCCAATCGGGGACAGTGATCCGAATCAACGAATCGAATTGCTGTTTCCGATTCGGGCTGAATCTGAATTGAATACGGGTGTGCGAAACGGGCAGTATTGGCTTTGCATCCTCCACTCCAGCAAAAGGGACAGGAGGTGAAATGATTCCTTTTTGCTTTTAGGGCTAGGGGGAGAAGTTAGACATAAACCACTTTAAGTGATCCAAAACTGGTTTAAACTTGTAACAGAACAGAATTTCAGAGCACATATACCACTTTCAAAATGGCTAAAAGCAGTTTAAGATAAATCTGGTTGGATGGAGTATCACACTAAACTGATTTAGGTCAAATCAGTTTATGGAACTTCTGTCCCAGATCTAGGAGTGTAAGGGTAACTATGCTACCCTGTATCCTTTTTTCTTTCAAGGAAATACAGACTGTAATTAAAAAAAAAAAAATTAGGTCAAATTGGCAGTCTCTCTAATGGTCTGTTGGCAAATACATCATTGCTTGCCCATTTACATTAATCTCTCCTGCTGGTTTCAACATCTACCTGTTTCCCAGGGAACAGAACTGTTTCTTATTTGTCTATAAATATATCTGTGGTAGACTCCTGGATTATTTTTGTATTGAGCGCAAACAGTAGTCTCTGCCTACGGGATAAGACCAAGGTTTGTAATTGTAACCTTGCCATGGATTTACACATAATACCAAATGCGTTGAGTCAATGTTTAATAACAGCATCCTGAAAACTTGTTGTATTTTAAGAATTCATAGGTACTTCCCAAATTCAGAGCTAGGCCCAGCTTCACTCTTTTCAGTAGGAGTAGCCAAACTGATTTGCAGCCAAATGTAACTTACAATGTTCTACTATGCAAGGTATTACTGCTCTTATCTTGGATATAGAGGTATGATTGACAAAGACTATAGACCTTAGCCTGCCTAGGTCCTGGTGCAACTGAAGTGCCATCCTGTGAAAGGCAGTTGCTATCTAGGATACAAATATGCTATTTACAGTAGGTACAAAAGATTTTTAAAATTGGTGTGAGCTAATTAATTATCTTGGTAAATTATGCAGGTTAAATTAATGAATTTAATGCTATATTTTATTTTATATAACAGGTCATATTCAGTTCTGGTATATATTCATTTAAGTCAAATGAGATATTTGTGTAGAAAAAATATCTTGGTTGATCACATATTGTTTCATATTAGAGTATTTGAGCCAACTTCTTATTAGCAGAAATCCAAAAGCTTAACTTCCGGAATTCTTAGTGTTATATAGCAGCTCCATAGGGTGTTTCATTTAAACACGGGCACTATAGAAGCAACCATGTAGTTATAGTGCAAATTCAGCTGGCCTTATATATAATACAACATTTTGGTATATTTATTAAAAACATTGGTACCATCTGGAGTTGAAATGCTAGCATCAGTAAATGTAATTTGACTTATTCTGGTTCATTCAGATTGGAAGATTGGTTATTGGTCAGAATGGCATTTTATCCACTCCTGCTGTTTCATGTATTATCCGAAAGATCAAAGCAGCTGGTGGAATTATTCTAACAGCAAGTCACAGCCCTGGAGGACCTGGAGGAGAATTTGGAGTCAAGTTTAATGTTTCCAATGGAGGTAGGTGTTTTTATAACACATTACATCATCGCATCTCTGGATGGTAAAGATAGGTCGACAGGGATAGCCAGATGATAACTATATACAGTTCTCCTGTTGTTCTAAGCATGTTTCCAACATTAGTATTTTTAATGTTAGAAGAGACATTGTCTATGTGCATTTACGAGAATACAATATATAGTATGCACTGGGTTAGAACCTGTACTTCTTTGTTGGTTCAGTTCCTTCTGAAGTTGATAGGAATTCTTCATGTAAAAATCTACTGGACTTGTCATCTTAATTTTATACTGAATTTATTTTAGGTCAGTGGATGCATGTGTTTCTGTCCCTTTATAAATATATCCGCTTTATGGAACTGAACACTGTAGATTCTCATTTTACTTATTTCTACTAGACATGCCTTGGTATTTGCTTTTCAGTTTGAAATTTTTAGAAGCAAGTAAAGCACTATTACTTATTCTTCCTCTTGGGCAGGGTTACCAACTTCACTGCAGTTTGGGACTGCACGCACGTGGGCCAAATGCTGCAAGGCAACCCCTTGAAATTATCCCCTCTTGCCATGCAGCCCTTCTCGGATCCCCCTTGTACATGGGCAGCGCTAATAGTATGCGGTTCCTTCTTGGTCCCTTGCATGCTGCATGGCAGTGAGAGACCTGTAAGGGCCCGCAGGCTGCATGCTGGCCCCTCACAAGCTGCACACTGCAAGGCTCTGTCCTGAAGTTATAAATTGTACTGGAATAGCCTTATTTATAGAGTATAACTTAATTTACGCAAGGGGGTTGTACTGTGTTAACTATACTGGCATAGCTAAAGTAGTAGAACTTGTGAGTACATGAGATCTTTAGCTAGTACTTTCAGCCTAGTCTGTCAGTTTCTTCAGCCTGAATTTTCATATAATCAACCTTATACACCCATAATAGATCTTAATGCTGATTAGTAATACTTTGCACTTGTATAGTGCTTTTCATTTGAAGATCCCACATGCTATTGGTGAATTGTTATCTCCATTTTGAAGGTGGGAAAACTTAAGGTTTATAAACACCCAGGAGGTGTACTGGTATAATTGAATATGTGATATTTGACTGTTGCCATTTTGTTTGCAGACCAGATATGAAGCCCAGAAAGGATAAGAAGCTTAAGTAAAATCAGATATCAAGTCAGAGAGACAGTATTTGAGCACAAGTATCAGACCATAATCACTGGGCACAGTGCCTCAGCAAGCTTAAGTACACTCCATGCCATCCAACTTCTTCCTGATAGATTGGTAGCAGCATCTTTAGTCTTTAGCCTATTTTGGCATTTTAAACAAAGTCCTGTACAGTTTTAAAAATAGAGCAGGGCTGAAGAACAGGTGTCAACGACTGATTAGTCTCATTAGTCATGGAGGACATAACAAAGAGTAAAAGGCTCAAAGTTGCAACTGGGAAAATTATAAGTTAAGTATTAGGAAAAGCTTTCTAACTGTGAGAACAGTTAGGCAGCAGAGCAAGCTGCCAAGGGAGGTTGTAGAACAGGGACGGGCAATTATTTTGGATGGAGGGCAGCTTATCGAGTTTTGGGAAGCTGTTGAGGGCTGCATGGGTAGCCCTGCCCTTTGACAGGTGCTCTACCTCCTGGTCGCCATCTTGGGACCAGAAGTCCTGCCCCTAACCTTTGACCTTTGCCACTGGAAGTCTCTCCACTTGCCCCTGGAAGTACTCCTTTGGGGAAGAGGGTTTGCCATCTTAGGGGGAAAAAAAACAAATTGCATACTAAAAATCAAACACCCATGATAATATATTTTAATTTAATTATAAAATATATTTTTGTCCTGGTTTGTGTGCATTTGTGGTGTATATGCAGAAGTGAGTGCATATGGGGTTTGTGGGGATGTGTGTGCGCATATGGATGTGGGTATGAGAGCCATGTAGTGCAGAGTGGCTGGGCAGGAAAGTGGGGAAAGCGGGGGGAGGGGCGTGGAAGTGAGTGGGATCATGAGGCCTGTACCGGTGTCCTGGGGCCATTGCCAGTGGGGCCTAAAGTGGGGAGCTGACCTGACTCCATAGAGCCCCTGCCAGCTGGGACCCCGCGCTCATACCACCTTGCTCTGGGCCCTGTTGGTGCTGGTCCCGGGACACCAGTGTGGTCTCGCCCGGCTGCTGCTGGCTCCTGCGTGCCCCCAGTGCCCCTGCCCCAGCCCTGCAGTACAGGTGGGGAGCAGCGCGTAGCCCCAACTCCGTGTGCCCTGCGCTTGCCTGCGGGTTACAAGCTGGTGCTCAGCGCAGGGGAAAAGTGCCCTCCCCTCGTGTGGCCAGTGCTCCATGCTGCAGCCTGCGCGGGTCTGTCCTGCTTCTCCACCACATCACTACCACCCCGTAGGGCAGCAGGGGCAATGGAGAGCAGGCACAGGCAGCTCCAAGTGGCTGCAGTATGGGGTGCTGGCCACAGGGAGGCAGGGGGTGGTGCTTTGCCCCGTGCTGAGCACCAGCTTGTAACCCGTTGTCGCTGTTAGCCTGGGCCCCATGCCGGGTCCAGGCTCTCCCATCAAGGCTGAGCCATGGCAGCAGCAGCAGCTGGGTGGAAGCTGCTGCTCAGCTTGGGGGAAAGGTGCCCCCCCCACTCCGTTGTCGGGCAGTGTTGGTGGCCTGGAGCCCACACCGCACTAGACTGGCGTGCGGCTGCTTCACCGCTGCCTCTGTGCTGCCCAACGGCTGCTCCACACAGCCACTGCTGCCACTTCTGCCCAGCTGCTGCTGCTGTGGCTCAGCCCGACAGGCAAGCTCGGAGCTGGTGTGGGGCCCAGGCTACCAGCGGTGGTGGGTTATGAGCTGGTGCTCAGCACGCAGAAAAGCACCCCCCCATCCCTGTGGCCAGTGCCCCGTGCTGCACTGCTCGGAGCTGCTTGTGCCTGCTCTCTGGTGTCCTCCCTGCCCCGTGGGGTGGCGGTGATGTGGAGAGGCAGGACAGCCCCACGTGGAATGTGAGTGGCTGCAGCACAGGGTGCCAGCCATGGAGAGGTGGGGGCTGCTTTTCCCCCATGCTGAGCATCAGCTCATAACCTGTGGGCAAGCACGGGGTGCGCAGGGTCAGAGCTGCGTGCTGCTCCCTGCCTGTACTGCAGGGTTGGGGTGGGGGCACTGGGGGTTCAGAGGAGCCAGAGACAGCTGGGTGGGAGTGTGGGGCCCATGTTGGTGTCCCAGGGCCAGCACTGGAGGGGCCCAGAGCAGGGCGGCCTCTGCACTTGTGTATGGGCACCCTGTGATTATAGGTACCAAGCCTGTAAGAAGTGGCTAGTATTTGCTTTGGATTCGGATTTGGATCGGCTGATTCAGGGCACTGTGATTTGCTTTGGTGATTCAAATCACTGTCCCGAATCGATTCGGTGATTTAGCTGAAGCCGAATCTCCGAATCACCCAGGCCCATCCCCTACCCGCTCTCCCAGCCCGGCAATGGCTGCCCTGCCCACCCCAGCTCCCAGCACTTTGAAAAAAAAAAATCCCTTACTCATTGGGTGCTGCCAGGCAGGGGGGAGATCCCCACTGCCTCCCACTGCTCCACGCTGCGTGCTGGGGCTCTTCATGATACCCCCACCCCGCTGTCCCAGCACCCCCCATGGCTGCCCCGCCTGCCCCAGCTCCAGCCCTTTAAGAAAAAAACTCACAAAACCCCCCGGACTTACCTGTTCCTGCCGGGCAGGGGGGGTGATCTCCACTGCCCCCAGCTGCCTCGCGAGGGGCTCTGCATGAGTCCCCCAACCCCGAGGCCACTGCAGGAGCAGAGAGTCTCCAGGTTTTTGTCATTTTTTATTTTTCTTTCTTAAGGGGCTGGAGCTGGGGCGGGCAGGGCAGCCATGGGGGAGCTGGCAGAGCAAGGGGTGAGTCGGGGGGCTCATGGCAGAGGCTCCCATGTGGCATGGGACAGTGGGGGGCAGCAGGGATTGCTCCCTCCACCCAGCAGCACCCGGTGAATGGGGCTTTTTTTTAGGAGCAGGCAGGAGATGGGGCCTGGCAGGGGTCCCCCCATGTCCCCTTCCCCCCTTGCCTGCCCCCTACTTACCAGCTCCGAGTCCGGCTGCAGATCCCTGCTGCAGCAGGCAGGGACTGTCTGAATCACTGAAGCTCTCCAAATCTTTTCCGAAGATTTAGAGAGCTTTGAATCAATTCAGACCTTTTAATTGGTCCCCTGATTTGATTCGGATTTGGAGATTAGGCCACCAAACTGGGCCAAATCTCCTCCAAATCGAATCAGCACCCAAAGCTTTGCACAGCCCTAGCAGGTACTAAATTTTGCGCTGTAATTACAGTGCATTAATGAACGTGTAGATGCACCCACTAGAGTTAGTTAGCTGAAGTCATTTTTCAGGGTGGAAATGTTTTTAAAATAGTAGATTTAATTGTTTTTCAGGCCACAAGGGAACATTCTGAAAACGTAGTCTAACCTCACAATGTGCGCTATAAAACCTTTTCTAGTAACTTCTGTGCCAAGTCAAAATGTTTATTTTACCTATACCGTATCTTTTAAAAAATATATCGTTTTCCAAATTAGCTAATCAAAGTCAGTCTGCAACTGAAACATGAATTCTGTTCAATTAATCTGATTAACTCCAGATGAAAGTTGCATATTAAATAATGAAGTTATTTTGAATTCCTAAAGCAGATTAATTTTGATAAACTGTCAGAAGTGTCTTTAAAGGCGAACAGTTCTATAAAACTAGTAAACTCAATACATTCATTTTTGTAGGTTGATGTAAAGTAAAGTTGCATACAGTTTATAGATACTTAACCTTAATATAAATGTAAATGTTGAGTCTTCATTAGCAAGGCAGAAGTACATTGGATTCTGCTCCTCTGGACCTTAATTTACTTTTCCATTTAAATTTCATTTTTTTCAGTATTTGCAAACAAGCAACTTGCCAAATAACCATGTTAATGCAACATGCATATTGGGATTTACTGAAGACTATCAGCAAATGGCAGATTTCCTTAACAATAATAATACATGATTTTCTATCAGGAGAAAAATCCTGTATTTTAATCCAGTGCTGCCTTCTAGGCTTGTTTGTTACTGATGCATGGAAAAATAAGCAAGTAAATGTATAAATGAACTGCTTCTTTCTGTATCTGGATAGTGAGCCATCATCTGAAAAAAATCTTAATATTTTGTTCTGCAGGACCTGCCCCAGATGTTGTTTCAGATAAAATTTATCAGATCAGCAAAACCCTGGAGGAATATACCATTTGTCCTGATCTCAGAGTTGACTTAACTCGACTAGGAAGACAAGAATTTGATCTAGAAAACAAATTCAAACCTTTCCGAGGTATCGACGTATGTTTATAGAAGCTGTGTGGTAAATCCATTGATTCTTATGATAAGAGTTACTACAGAAAAATAGTAATTTATAGTGGTGTAATTAGTGTCGAGTGACTGGGGTAAGCTGCTTTAGGCATGGATTTGGGTGGGGGTTCATGAAAGAATACAGTTGCTGCCATAGCCATGCAATCAGACCAGCAGCATGGCAACAACCAGAAGCTGCTGCTACCCCTGTGTGTGGCAACTGCCTCAGGCTCCACATCTGGTAATATAATTATTTAGACAGTTCTTTCTTTCTTTAAAATGCCTTACAACCATTCATTCTAACAATGTACTGCAAGCTAGCTCTGTAAATTTTACCACTGTTTTACAGATAGTTCACAAATTCTAACCGTCAGTTTCACTAAGGACCCAATTCTGTAAAACAGGGGGGTTGTCAACTGGGGGTATGCAAACCCCTGGGGGTACTTTAAAAGGTTCCAGG